CCTACCATAGGCGGCTCAAGGGTAAGACAGCACAAGCAATGGCTTAGGGCACCCAAATTTTGGGAGCCCCACTTTCCCTTGGTAGTAATTTTAATTTTTTTATATAAAAATTGAGTATCTTAATGTCAAAAAGTAAATAACTTAATACAAAAAGGAAAAGAAAATTTTAATTTGTGATTAGCGCTGATAGTTGAGATTTTAATAATTTAAAGGGTATAAAGATATCTTTAATTTTTTTATTTTGTGGGTAAAATTTGATTTTTTATTTAAAGGGTATAAAAATATCTTTTATTTTTGACAAGAGTGAGTTGCTTTAGTGGTGAGCACCCTCCACTTCCAACCAAGAGGTTGTGAGTTCAAGTTACCCCAAGAGCAAGGTGGGGAGTTCTTGGAGGGTGGGAGCCGACCTTAAAGAAAATATTACAAGTAGAAGATAATACTCTGATCCGTATACTCAATAAGATAACAAGAATTAATTTTTGTTAAAGGATCAATAATGTATTAGGAGAATTTAAATGGATCGGATTAGCCATATTATCATTTAAAAAAGTTAAAAAAAATGATTTCAAACAAAAATATACAAATTTATTTTGTTAACAAATTAGGGCCCCTCATCGAGATTTTGCTTTAGGCCACCAACAATGTTGGGCCGCCCCTGCACCCTACTCCCAACATCCATCCTAAATAAAAATATTATTAAGAATATTTTACTTTCATATTGTAGATAAAATATTTTCCTTTTCATGATCTAAAAAAAATATTTCCTTTCATTTCAACAAAAAAACACTTTCTTTTCGTGATGTAGAAGTATTTTCTTTCATTTCAAGAAAAAAGTACATTCTTTTCATGACGTAGAAAAACTATTTTCTTTCATTTTAACAAAACAAGTACTCTACTTTCTTTTCATGTTCCGTAGAAAGAGTACTTTTTTTAAACAAAAAAAAAAGAATATTTTCTTTTTAGTTATGAAGCACAAATTTCAACGTTGTTTTTGGGTGAGAAAAGTAAAGCAACACATTAGCTCTTTTGGGTTNGAAACATGGGGATTTGGAGGAAGGGAGGTGAGGAGAGTAGCATAAAAATTATTTTTTCTAACAAAAATTTTATACTCTCTAACTAAACACTAGAAAATATTTTCCGAAAAAAGTTTTTCATTCACCAACCAAACAAGGGAAAATAAGTGATAAAACTACTCGAAAACATCATACCAAACACACCCTTAATGTCTCATGATTTTGTTCATTCCACTTGGTTAACCAGTCGACCATACCATTGAGTGGAGCATCTGATTGTTTCACTGATGAGTCCAAGATATGAATTTTGTTTTACAGATTTCAAGCATGATATTTGAACTAAAGTTTGGTTATACAAGTAACGCAAAAACATTGTGTATCGTTTTGATGCTTGTGGTAGTTAGCATCTTTGTTGCCATGAAATTTCCATGAAAATCTGGTTTCATGCGTGAGATATTAGTCTAGCTACTTTGATCTAATGCAACCCATGCCATTGCTATTACAATATAATGATATCATCTCCCATTTTCTCAAATCATACAACCAACTTCCTCGTTATATTTTTTCCTAGAGAAACTTATTCCATCTATATATCCCCATGTGCCTAGAACGAAAAAGGAGAGGAAAGAGTAGAGAAGAGTGAAACTGAGAAAGCCTTTATATTTTTCAAATTGGTAATGCATGCAGATTCTTGTACGTCTTTCCTTCAATGGGCTTAGCTTGTTGAGTACTCACATTACCAAATTTTCTAGCAAAGGACTTCTTTTAGTGACATTGAGTACCAAATTTGGGAAGGTTGGAGAATGTGAAAATTAAATTAATCACGATTAACTAGTAGGAAAAACGATGAGAAACTTTGCTCCAAATTAGACTATATATGAAGACAAATCATGATGATTAAGCTACTCTTCCAGTAATCACGTTATAAGATAGGAAAAATACATACATACATATCATATACATGGATATTAATATATACTTGAGTTGTGGAAAACTAAATCACTTAAGATGCAATATGTCGTCCATCAAACTGTAGAACTTAGTCCATATAAACTACTATAAAGCTACAATTATCGTGATATATAGAGCAAACTGTGTAATTCAAATATCTACTATGGATCATGTGGTTAATTATCATTGTTTTCCCAATTAAAAGTGAGAAATTTAATTTGTTTCTCAGAGTGACATTAATAAGAGGCGGTAATGTTTTCAATCGTAACTTAAATTTACGATCTGCTAAAGACTTATAAAATGTTTTTTTATACTGGTGATAGAAAAAACTTAAACTCATAATTAAAATGATATTTTGTTCGTTACGTTGTTTTATACATTAAAAGTGTATGAAACTCTTACACTGTTAGATTATTTAAGAGTTAACAACTAAAAATAACTTTTTTTCTTTTCGTATAATCGTCAGTTAGAATAGCCTAAAGAGTGTAACTGACAAATTGGACGTAGAAATTCTTTCCATGCATATATTATAACTAGAGTCTATTAAGATTATCTATTTTATTTTATGTGAAAAATTAATTTTTGAATCTTGTAGTCCTAGACGTCTATGAGTATAACATCTATCATTGTTGAGTCTCAACTAATTCCTTCTCATCTACATAAAAAAAAAGAGCAATTTTCCTGTGGAATTCGTCTCAAACTTGCCAACGTACACGAATGAAACAATATTAAACAAATCCGCTTCTCTTCACTAATTCTGGAGTGAGTAACACATTAAAGAAAGACAAAATACTACTACTACAGTTGCGCGCTGTTGATTAATCAGCTGGAATTTAAAGAGAGAAATCAAAGATGGAGTTGGTAATTCTGTTCATCGCTTCCCTTTTTGGACTCCTCTTGCTGTACAATATGATCAGAAGGAAGATAATGGAAATAAGAAACATAACATCAAATGTGGTAGTGATGAAGGATCATAAATCCTATGGTAATACGGATGTTATCATTGTCGGTGCCGGCGTTGCTGGTTCTGCTTTGGCCTGCACTCTTGGCAAGGTACGTTCCATTATATATTTTCTCAACTCTCAACTATACGATACTTCTAGGCTTGTTTCTAATATATATCTGTTGATTAATTTTTCTCCTACGTATGTTTTGGTTCTGCTTTGAACTCCAGAAAGTGCAGAATTGCATCATTGGCAGAAAATTAACTATGTGAAGCAGACGTAATTAATTGCCCATAACTATAGAAAACTATGTGTAAGAAACTCTATTAGTCCTTGTATTGTAACGCAAAGTAACTTGGTATAACATGTTAAAATACACTACTTATTAATAATGTAATAAATCTTACACGTCAACGTATATAATTAAGTTAAATCATTCCAATTTTCTAAATAATGAAATTTGGCTTTCATCTACGCTCTAACTAATACTTCCTCTATTTCAATTTAGATGATTTAGTTTGATTTGACATAAAGTTTAAGGGATAAAAAGAAGACTTTTGAAATAGGTGGTTTAAAAGTTTACGGGCAAAAGCTTTGTAGGGCCATGATATTTATGTGACTATAAAGCTTTTCATTAAGGATAAAGTTGGTAAAATAGAAAATTTAAAGTTAAATTATTTCTAAATATAAAAATATATTAATCTTTTTTAAACAAACTAATAAGAGAAATGTATCATTTAAATTAAAACGGAGGGAGCATTATAATTTTCCTTTGATACTAATTGCAGGACGGGCGACGAGTTCACGTGATAGAGAGGGACTTGACTGAGCCAGACAGAATGGTTGGTGAACTTTTACAGCCAGGTGGCTATCTCAAATTAGTTGAGTTAGGCCTTGAAGGTAGGGATATAGCTTCATATATACTATTTCCTTTTTCAATTTAGCTGATTCCACTATACACGAAGTTTAAAAAAAAACAGACTTTTAAACTTATGTGACACATATGTTTTATGTAGTTATAAATTATTACGTAAAGGTAAAATTATTTTCTAATATGAAAATGAATCATTTTTTTTGCACAGACTAAAAAGGTAATAGATTTACATAAATTAAAACGGAGGGAGTACAAAACTTAAAAAAAAACGAATTATTGTATATATCAGTTAAGTTTTATATTTTGTACATATATAGATAGATATGCATTAAAATTAATTTGATCGATCACCTTACCCAATCTTTGATTGATTGTAAAATTGTTTTGTTCGGTTTTTAATTCTAATTAAGTTACGTAAATTACGTATCTGCAGATTGCTTGGAAGATATAGATGCTCAAAGAGTTGGAGGACATGTTCTTTACAAGAAGAATGGAGAACATATTATGCTTTCCTATCCCTTAGAGAAGTTCCAGGCAGTAGATGCATCGGGGAGATGTTTCCACAATGGACGTTTCGTTCAGAAGATGAGGGAAAAAGCTGCCACCCTCCCCAAGTAATTTTCTCATATACTATATTGTTTAACCAAAAAGTATGAAACTCTTTGTTAAATTAATTTATTAAGTAAAAAAATAAGGAATTAATCCTAGTTAAAAATAATATCCCTATATCTAAAATCAGTTTATATGGATAATGTGGGGTCACGTTGAAGCAGATTTAATGTGATATATAATAAATGTTGTTATTATTAATGCGGTGAGAGCAAATAATAAATAATCATAAATGACACTAAATGTTAATAAGGAGGAAGATTCACCCAATAATGAAAGAGGTGAACGATTCCTTCTTCTGACAATGATGAATGACAAGAATATGAGAGAATATTATACACTTTTTCGGATCTGGTGAAAATGACAATATATTGAATGTAAGGATCGAATCTCTCTCAGAAAGTTATTTTTTGCATTTATCTAGAGAGCTTACTTTTCAAAAGTACTTATTAAATTGAATATCACATGCCTTTTGCCTTATCTCTCCTACTATTTATATGGGATATTCCCGAAAAATCCCTAAAAGGTACAACAGAAGGAATATTCAATAGAATATTTCATTGGTTAGTTCCAAAGTTGTACTAGCCATTACTTTTGTCCCTTGTTGCTCGACCTCGACCCTGATGACCTACTCAACGACTTGTTCTGTTCACCACTGACGACCTCAGCCAAACTGCCCATGATAAGTTACAATTCTCACGATAATCACCTCCTCGTGTTGAATTTCCTCGGTCGGATTTTAACCCATACAGTTAGTCCCTCCGCTTATTGAGGTCATCTTTTGGTTGACCTCATTGAGCGAATCGTTAGCCAGTTTAAGAGATTTGGGTGGGGAGGTCGAGTAGTGAGAATTGCTGCCGAGTTGGTGATGTGGCGCTTTGAGAGCCACACTTAATGATGTTGGTTCAGAAATGACGTCATAGCCCCATGCGTCATCATTACGCATCTTCCCGATGAATTGCATCATTTCCTGTGTCCCTGTTGTTTCGATCCCAGCGCATTTGACGATTATTTTTCTCGATCCGTGCACCAGTGTTCTCTATAAATAAAGGGGGGAAACCTTTTGAATGAAACTTTACATTTTCCAATCTTTTGAACCTACATATCTTCTTCTCTTCTTCTTCTTTCTGTATTCCTATTTGCAGAAACTTTTGCCATTATCACTTTGCACTTGTAATTTCTTCACATATACATAATAAAAGATAGCTAGTGCATCTTTCAACCCTGAGGGGACCTCTGATCCGGTTCCTTTATCAGTGGTCATGCCCTCTTATAATGAAGGGAAAGCCATTGTTGTAGAGGATGAAAGCTTTCCCACTGTAGAGGAAATTATTCCTCGTAATGATAGGTCCAGGTCGCATTTCTCAAAGTCGCCTGCAGACAACCCTAAGCCTGTAAAGTCCAAGATGGGGTCAACCCATCTTGCCAAGCTTAAGACCAAGTACAACATTCCTGCTCACATCGATCTGGTCCCAGCCGGGAACGACGTGGTTCAGATTCATCGTCCTGAGTATTGCGCATTTTATGCATACACGTTCCAAGTGGGATATTCTCTTCTTCTTTCCCCATTGGCGGAGGAGTTCTACCGTTACTACGACATCTGCCCGGCCCAGCTCTCCCCGTATATTTACAAACTTTTTCTCATGCTGATAAAGTACGCAGAGTTGGCCAATCATAGGATTTTTATCCGCCATCTGCTACATCTTTTCGCACCAAGCTTTCACAGGGGTACGATGATACACCTCCGCTACCGTGGGACCAAGAGATTGGTGGTGAAAATGGATGATAAGGCAAATCGTCGATTTGGGTTCAACTTCTTCTATATCAAGACCGAACACGTGGTGGCGAACCCTAGTGGATTCACTAAGGCGTGGAACTTCGCCCGTAAGTGTTTTTGCTAACTGAGTGTTTGTTCTCTCTTCGGTAACTTAATCATTCTCTCTCACTTTAGTTACTTCGACTTTAATACTGCCTTCTTTTCACCCCCACTTTTCGGTAATCGGGTACCTCGATCGGGTCTCTGCTCGCTGTGACTGTAGGCGAGTCCGCACAGACTATTACTTCTTCTCAAGCCCCGGCCCTGCTTGGCCTGGTCATTGGGCGGCTGCCCCATCAGTAGAGACTTCGTCCTCTACTGCCCCATTAGTAGAGCCCAAGCTGGCCACGGCCGTATTCGAGGGCGGCATGGCCTCGAACGCTGAGACTTTGACTCCTTCAGATGCAGAGATTACTCCCTTACTAGGGGTCACCGTGGAAGTAGTACGGCGATTAGAGGCAGCAAAGGTCGTACCGAGAAGTGATCCGTCACCGTCGGGACAGGCCGACGTACCTTCTTCTGCCGAGGAGAAGGGGAAAAATATGGTCGTGAATGGATATGAGTCCGATTCCGATGTCAACCCCGAAGAGGTGCGGATGTTTAATGAAGGGTTTACTCGGGTAGAAGTGAGAACTGAGGGGTCTACTCTCTCCATAATCATTCCTTTGGATTGTGATTTGTTGATGAATACAGAGAGTGTAGTTCCTTCATTGGTTCCTCTCTGCTCTGGCGCCAAAAACATGGACTCTACGGACGTTTAACGATGTCGATCTATCGTTAGGCATCTCTAGAATGGCTTTTAGGGTAAGTTTGTTCGTTCTTCTTTTATTTTGTTGTTCTCATACCCTACGCCTTTCTCTTTTTTGTTTTTACTAACTCTTTTCGTTTTTCCTTTTTCACTAGACTCTCATTTTGGAGATTGAGAGTGCCCGTCGAGAGGAGAAGCGGAAGGTTGTTTTCAATAAAATGGTTTTAAAGTATTTCAAGTATCATGACAAGTATAGTGAGATGTGTGCCCGGTTCAGCGCGGGCGGTAATTTCCAGTCCCTTAGAGATAGGGCAGAAGGACGATGAGATTGTGAGGGTCATCGGCAGAAGCAGCGAGCTCAAGGTAGCATAGAGCCAAGGAGGAAGAGCTCGAGGTGAGCAAGGGGGTCATAGATGAGTGTGTCAACCTTTAAGCTCAAGTGGCGTCCCTGTGAGCCAAGCTTGATTAGATCTCGATCAGAGCTAACGGCTTAAGTGATGAGTTGATCGAGAAATTTGCAGAGCTTGAGGGGCCGAGAAGGCCAGGATGGCGGCTTTGGCGAAGGTGGCGGCATTAGAGGATACCTTCCGTGTCCTTAGATCTAAGCGGGCGAATTATGCAAAGACGGGCGCACTAAGGGAGGCGAGGTTTGATGAACGGATTAGTGGTCTTGAGAAAGATATTTCGGACCTAATTGAGCAGATCATTATTCTTGAGGCAAAAAAGGCGCAGTTACTAGCTCAACTGTCTTCATCTCATACTTCCACTTATCTCGATGTTCCACGGGATTTGTACGAGAAGTGGATTCATTCTGAGGCTCAACTAGACTTATTCAGGGGCTTGATGACGGCGGGAAGGGTTTCTGAGGCTGGGTTTGAAGATGTTCATGCTAAGGCGCGCGCAGCTCGGATCGCCTGTGGTTATGATCCTACTACGCCTAGGGCCGGTGATGGTGAAGATGACTTGGACGGGCTTGAGCCAGGTGCCTGGTATGATGATGAATATTCTGATGGCGAGGAAGATGATGGGAGCGATGTTGCTGAGTAATGCTTTGTAATCTTTTGCTTTTATTTTTGTGGGCGTCTTTTCGGCTCTTGTAAGATACCTGGTGATGGACACATTAACATATCACATTCAAGGGGATGTGCCATGGTGCATGCTATTCGCCGATGATATAGTTCTGATTGATGAGTCACGAACCGGTGTTAACGGGAGGCTGGAGGTTTGGAGACAAGCTCTTGAATATAAGGGTTTCAAGCTTAGCAGGACAAAGACGGATACCTGGAGTGCAAGATCAGTGCTGAGCAGAGGGAAGTGGGTGTGGATGTGAGGCTTGAATCACATGTCATCTCGAGTAGAGACAGCTTCAAGTACCTTGGGTCGGTTATCCAGGGGGGAATCGACGAGGATGTTACACACCGAATCGGGGTAGGATGGATGAAGTTGAGGTTAGCATCTGGAGTATTGTGTGACAAAAGAGTGCCACTAATACTCAAAGGTAAGTTCTATAAAGTGGTGGTTAGGCTGGCCATGATGTATGGGGCTGAGTGTTGGCCGGTTAAGAAATCACATATCCAGAAGATGAAGGTAGCAGAAATGAGGATGTTGAGGTGGATGTGCAGGCATGTAGGATGGATAAGATTAGGAATGATGATATTCAGGAGAAGGTGTGCGTCGCTCCCATTGATGACAAGATGCGGGAAGTAAGGCTCAGGTGGTTCGGTCACGTTCAGAGGAGAAGCCCAGATGCTTCGGTAAGGAGGTGTGAACGGCTGGTGGTGGAGGGATCTAGAAGAGGTAGAAGGCGGCCTAAGAAGTATTGAGGAGAGGTGATTAGGCAGGATATGACAATGCTTCAGATTTTCGAGGACATGACACTTGATAGGAACATGTGGAGGTCGAGAATTAGGGTTGTAGGTTAGGAGGTAGTTGAGTCTTGTCTTATGCCATAACTTTGGGAGACTAGTTCGGTAGGGATA